TGGCTGACACCCTAGCCGCTTGAGCCACAGGCGCTGAGCCAATAGTGAAACATTTTATATGGATTATCTTATTTAATGTTCATAACAATCCTATAAGGAAGGTACTGCTATATAGTCCCATTTAACAGATGAGGAAGCTGACACTTAAATGGAAGCAACTTGTGTGGTGGCTCATACCTGTAATCCTAGCACTTGGGAGGCAGAGGCGGGGGGAATTGCCTGAGCTCATGGGTTTGAGACCAGTTTGAGCAAGAGTGAGACACTGTCTCTAAAAAATAGCCAGATGTTGTGGCAGGCACTTCCCTCCTTGCCTAGGGAAGCTGAGGCAACAGAATCATTCAAGCCCAAGAGTTTGAGGTTGCTGTGAGCTATGATGCTACAGCACTCTACTAAGAGTGACAAAGTGAGACTCTGTCTCTTAAAAAAAAAAAAAAAAAGGAAGTCACTTGCTGAGGGTTGCCCAGCCAAGAAGTGGTAGAACTGGATTCAGCCTGGGCCACGTGGCTCCAGAGCCCATGCTCTTAACCAAGGACCATGTCAGAGGAAGAGTCTGGGAATCCCAGAAAGGGTGAACTGCAGCCCCCTCAGGCCTTGAATGGAGGCTAAAGAGCATGGGCTTCACATTGGAGGCTCTGGGGAACCCCCACCCTGTCCTCAAAGAATTTCAAAGGCCACGGGGAATAGGAATGGTCAGAAATATGGTCTAGAAAGTTTCTTTTGTTGAGTGGAAAGTGTGGGGAGGGAACCAGACCAGAAGCAGGGACCGAAGTTTGGATGGATACATGTTTGGGGATGGCAAGGGCTGGGAGCAGGGTGCAGCTCGTAATAGGAGAGGAGAGGCCAGGTGCCACGAGTGTGAGGAAGGCCAGTCAACTGAACTCCACTCTTTCATTAAAGTAGCATTTACTAAGCACCTACTATGTGCCAGGCACTATTCTATGCCCATGGTAGAGCAGTGAACAAAACAGAGAAAAACTTGTCCTTGTGGAGCTGACATTCTAATGGGTGGGGAGAGACAATCAACTAAATAAGCAGACTATATTGTATGCTAGAGAGTGATCAGGGATATAGGAAAAAATAAGAATGGGGTTTTGGAATGTGTGTGTCAGGGCTGTGCTCGGGGAGGACCTCACTGAGAGAAAGCACTTAAGCAAAGACTTGAAGGAGAGGACCATGCAGGAACCTGTGGCAAGAGCCTCGCAGGGAGAGGGCAGGAGGCTAGGCTTGTGTAATGATGAGCCAGGGGCCAGGTGGCTGGAGTAGAAGTAGAGCCCAGAGAGGCGAGAAAGCATGGCCTAAGTCTGGAAGGCCACTGGGAGATCTTTGGCTCTTGCGCTGCAGGAAATGGAAGTCGCCAGAGGGTTCTGAGCAGAGGAGTGACACAAGCTGACATGTTTTATTAGGATCACTCTGGTTGCTGTGTTGAAAATAGGCTGTAAATGGGGAAGGGAGGAGGAAAAACAACCGGGGGGAGGGAGGGAGGCTTTTTATAATAATCGAGGCAAGAGGTGGTGGTGACCATGGCCAGAGAGGCTGAGTGCTCCCTCTCTACTTGTCCATACATACACATTCATGAACAAAGTTTTGTGGAAAATCTCAAACGTGTTCAGAAGTAGAGAGAGTAATGCGATGCACTATCTATCATGTGGTTGTGTCCTTGTCACTCAACCTCAACAGTGATCAAGTTTTGGCCAGTCTTGTGTCATATATATCCCCTTCTACTTTCTATCCCTATTGTCCTGGATTAGTTTGAACTTAATCCAGGACATCATATCACTTCACCATAAATATTTCAGTATGTCTAGATATATTTTGAAAGTAGAACAGGAATTGTAGATGAATTGGTTTGTAGGATGGGAGGGAAAGAAGTCCAGAATGACTATAGGGGTTGGACCTGAGCATTTGGAAGGATGGAGCTGCTTTCTGTCAAGAAGGGGGACTGGGAGGAGAAGCTGGAGCCCAGAAAGAGGTCAGGGGCTCACTTGGAGCACGGAAATTGAAGACATCTAAATGGAGGTGTCAATTCAGTGGGACATATGAATTACCAACTGGGTCTGTACTAGGGAGGATAGCTTGGAGCTGTCTGACTTGGTGACAAGGGAGCCTCTCACTGAGTCAGGAAAGAGAACAGAAGCTTGTTTGAGGCAAGGCGATAATTTTATTTTGCTGGGCTGAACTTGAGGTGTTTAGTGGCCCAAAGGCCACTATCAGAATATAGGAAGCCCCCAGGCAGGTGCTTGAGTGCTGGGCTTAGAATTTAGGGAGGGTCAGGACTAGAACTAGACACGGGTAATGGTTAAGGCAGGAGAGCAACTGGGGTGGCTTAGGGGGTATCTGCAGACGGGAGAGCAGCAGGACAGGCAGGGTATGTGTGTGTGATGGAATGAGGTCCCTGAGATCATGAAAGGGGGAGTGGAGAAGATGGGTCTTGTCCCCTCCTGAGGCCTGGGAACTCTCCTGTTTGGAGATCCCAGTGCCACGTTCAGGGCCAGAACAAAGTGAGGGCTCATTCCTGGTGGAACACATGAAAGGTGAAGCTGTGAGCAACAAGGGTTTTTCTGCATGACCTGCTGGCTTTGCCTGCTCTTCCTCCATGTCCTCATGCAGGACCCAGTACTGAGTCACAGACTCCAGGACAGGAAAGACAGGCTTCAGGGGACTATGGGGCTTTTCTTCCTACCACTGCCACTGGCTTGTGGAGGTCCCTCTCCTCCACTTCAACTGTGAGCTCTCCAGATGCTCAGCAGTGTTATCTCTGAGTGCCACCCTGAGTGTGGCACAGCAAGCCAGTGTCTCCAATAGGACCAGTCACTGAAGCCAGACTAGCCAGTGTCAAATCCTGGACATTGCTAGCTGGTGGCTTTAGTCAAGTGACTTAGTCTCTCGAAGCATCAATTTACTCAGCTATAAAATGTGCACAATAGGCGCACCTGTGACTCAAAGGGGTAGGGCGCCGGCCCCATATGCTGGAGATGGCAGGTTCAAACCCAGCCCCGGCCAAAAAAAACTACAAAAAAAAAAATGTGCATAATAGCTGTTCTAATTCCACCAGGTTGTTTAGCATAAGAGATGATGTATGTACATTACCACATAGTAGGTGCTTCCTTTTTTTTTTTTTTTTTTTTGTATTTTTGCTTTCAATTTCAGCTGGCTTTCACTTTATCTTAGTTTGAAGTTTGGGGGTTTTTTTGGTTTTTTTATTTTTTTTCCTTTCTTCCTTTAGCAATTCTCTTGCCCTTTTGCCTCCCAAGTAGCTGGGATTACAGGCACTCGCCACAACGTCCAGTGGTTTTTTTTTTTTTCTCTTTGTAGAGACAGGGTCTCACTCTGGCTTACTCTGGCTCATGCTGGTCTTCCACTAGTCTCAAACTCAGCTGAGTTCAGGTGATCCACCTGCCTCGGCCTCCCACAGTGGTGGGACAACAGGCATGAGCCACCACAGCCGGCCTGGTGCTTCTTAAATAACTGTTATGGCCATGATCTCTCCAGCTTCATCCTTTAGTCCATCTCTCCATAAAGCTACCCTGAAAGTGTCCCTGGAGGTGCCATCCCTTGCTTTCCCACTTCCTAGCATGAAATAGACCAGTTTTGCAAGCCTCATTTTTTTTTTTCTTCTGAGACAGTCTGTCTCTGCCATCCAGGCTACAGTGCCATGACCCCAACCTAGCTCACAGCAACCTCAGACTCTCAGCCTCCCAAGTAACTGGGACTACAGGCACCTGCCACCACACCTGGCTAGTTTTTCTATTTTTAGTAGATTTTTCAACTCCTGAGCTCAAGTGATCCTCCTGCCTCAGCCTCTCAGAGTCCTAGGGTTACAGGTGTGAGCCACTACCCCCAGCCCAACCTTATCTCTTGTAAACTCCTACCCAGATCCTATGGGCCAGCTTTGGTGTTTCCTCCTTTGAGTCCTCTGAACAGGGCTGTCCTATCCAGTCCTCCTCTGTATACGTAAGGGTTCATTGCACTATACTACATGGATGTGCTGGCATATCTGCCTACCCCCACCCCACCTGAGACCCTGTTTTTCATCTGGCTCTGCTCCCAGGGCCTGGCACTCAGAAATGCAGGTTGAATATCTGGGGTATCAACACAGGTGGTCGCCATCTGTGCTTGCCATGTCTCATGTTTTTGGTCTGCTTCCCCTTCCCCACTGTTCACAGACCTGGACTTGGCCGTGCCAGAGACCGCCAGACTGGACAGCAGTTTACACAAGGCCCGGGCCCAGCTGCTGGCCAAGGGCAGGAGACACCGACCATCCCGCTCCAGGCTTCGGGACAGTGCCAGTTCTGCTGAGGATGGTGAAGGCTCCGATGGGCCCGGAGGCAAGGTTGGGGCAAGCTGTGCAAACACACGTACATTCACCTACCCTTCTTGCACCTGGATAATCCCCCCAAACTGCTCTTCCAGGGAAGCCACACTCCCAGACTTAGCGGCAGTTCACTTCTGGTTCATTCCGTCCTTTGGAAGAATATATGATTATCCTCATCCTACTAATGAGGAAACTGAGGCCCTAAGAGGTCCTGTAATAAAATCACAGTAAGTGAAGGAGGCAGAATTCATCCTCAGCCTATGTGACTCAGAGCTCCCACCTGGTACTCCTCTGGGCTGACACGCACGAGGAAACCCTCCCTCCAGGCCCAGAAGGACTCAGAAATCCGGGCTCCTCACCCGGGGACCCACAGTTTACAGGGTGAAAGGGTCTCCCAGTTCCTCGGAGGAGGAGGATTCTCGGTGAGTGGCTGCCCTCTTTCCCAGGTGACCGACGGCTGCGGGAGCCCCCTGCACCGGCTGCGCTCGCCTTTGCACTCGGGCCCAGGCTCCCCAGCCGGGGGCTCTTTCTGTCTGGATCCTCCGGGATTGAGGCGCAGCCAGGACGAGGACGAGCCACCGCCCTCGCCGCTCACACGCTACCGTCCTCTGCATAACGCTGCCTCCCATGAGGGCCTGGCCGCAGCCTCGGGGTCGCCGCCGCGCTCCGCCCCCTCTTCCGACAGCTCGCCCTGCTTCCTGCGCCGCCACCTGCGGGCGGAGCCGCACAGCGAAGGTGAGTGAAGGAAGCGGCGGCCTCATCCCTGAAAGAGCTGGTGGGATAAGGTAGGGGGCTTGTGGAGGTGGGGGTGCAGAGTGAGCGCCACCCCTCACTCACTTACCCAGAGCCAACTTTGTGCCAGACACTACTGGGCTCTGGGACATCCAAATGAGCAAACAGATACAGTCCTTGCCCTCATGGGGCTGTAGTTGAGGGGAGAGACAATCAGATCATCCTTTAACTAAGTGTATGGTTACAAATCATGATAAACGCGAGGTCAGTAATCTGCACAGTGGCAGCAGGACAGCTCCTATCAGGATGCCTGAGCTAGCTGGGAGCATCCTGGAAGGCTTCTCTGAGGAATGGACGTTTGAGCGGGGATGGGAAGGCTGGTTAGAAGTTGAACAGGATAAAATTAAGAGTAAATAGAAGTGGCTTCTGACTTCTTGGAGTGCTTTGTAGTTTGTAAAGGGCTTTCATAGGCATCCTCTTAGGTGCCATGAAATAGACAGGTGGTGTTATTTGAAAGGAAGCCAAGAGAAATAAAATGACTTGTCCTAGTTCACACAGCTAGCAGAGGGCTCCAGAGCCAGGTTGCTTGATTCTAAGTCACCTGCATTGATGATGGAGGCAGGCAAGCCACCACATAGCTATCTCCTTCCTTCCCCTCCCCTGAAAGATGACAGCCGGGATGCCAGCCCTCCTGAGCCTGCCAGCCCTACCATCGGCCTGGATAAGAAGACTCGCCGAAAGTTCCTGGACCTGGGGTGAGTGGGAAGCAGTACCATACACAGGGCTTGGAGCTGTTGGGGTGAGAGGTGGTACAGTGCAGCCCTGCCCAACTCACCCCTGCCCTCCCCACAGGGTCACCTTGCGCAGGGCATCCACAGGCAAGAGCCGGAAAGAGAAGGGCAGCAACCGTTTGTCCATGGGCAGCAGGTAGGAGGTGCCCACAGAGCCCCATGGCACCTGAAGGCCTGGCTTAACCCTCTGTGCCCACACCCATGCTGGATGCTCTCTCTGCAGGGAGTCAGTGGAGGGGTCTGGCAGGTCAGGGGGCTCCCCGTTCCTGCCCTTTTCCTGGTTCACAGACAGCGGCAAGGGCTCAGCGTCCTCAGGCAGCACCACATCCCCTGCCTGCTCTCCTAAACATGAGGGCTTCAGCCCTAAGAAGTCAGCTTCCCAGGTAAGTCCATGATGTTCTTGCCCCCATACTGGTCCCTAGACACAAGTGCCATGGAGGCCTACTTTACCCTGGCTTGGGCTGGGATTCAGGCATTCCTAGAGTCTATTGTCTCTTCCATGGAGCCACTCAGTGATCCATTTCTTCAACCATTCTGAGTTCATTCATTCACTTACTCACTCATTCATCTTCTGAGTAGTTCATTCATTCATTCATTCACAGCTTCATCCATTCAGCACAGAACACTGAACACTATGATTTTCCTACTGTTCACCTAGCCTGAGATCTGCTCCATTCTGCTTTTCTGCCTGGATCGGTTCTAACCTTACTTCTAAGCTAAGAGTTGGGCTGCCTGCTTGGTAGGGTAAGACTTGGGGGAGACAGACAAACAGGACCCCAACCAATTCTCTGAATGCTCCCTGTGGGAGAAGTGAGACTAAGTAACAAGCAACAATGAGCATCTGCTTATGACAGCCTTCTATAGTTTATGAAGTTCCAAACACAAGCTTTTGCTCACTGTCACACAGGCTCAGTGAATTAGGGAGAAGGGCAGGCACAATTGTACCCATTGTACAGAGCAAATGAAGGCCCAGAGAGAGGGGACTTGCCCACAGACTTATACAGCTTTAGTTGCAAGATTTTGTGACTCATAGCCCAATGCTTGTTCTATGGCTCTGTACCTTATGTGTACCTGGGGCAGAGGAGAAAGATGAGAATTTGGACAGAAAGAGTCCCTCTGACTTGGGATTTTCTTCTTTCCTCCCTCCATTCCTTTCCTTGTGCTAAGTCCTGGGTGAACAAACACAGCCTGGGGTCTTACAGAGCTCATAGTCCAGTGGGAATAAAGGCCTCTAACCAGGCACTTTCAATCCTTGGTGCTAGAGGCCAGGTGAAAGGCACTTACCAGGGACACCTGACCCAGCCTGGAGGGCATCCTAGAAGCCTGCCTGTAAGAAGCAACACATGGTCTGAGACCTCCATTTCTGCTATCCTGCCTGGCTTAGTTCTAGCCCCTTGTCCTCTAGATGACTGTCTGCCCTTCCAGAGGCCTCAGATCCTGATGCCCCACACAAGAGCTCCTGGCTCATGCACAGGGGACTCTGAGCAACTCCTAGAAACTAGTCCAGGATTTAACTCCATCTAGATTGGGGTGGTGGGCTGGGGAAAATTCCTTTGGGCTTGGAGGTGAGCTCTTACCTCAGCACCCCTTCCTGTCTAGGAATCCACCCTGAGTGATGACTCCACGCCCCCAAGCAGCAGCCCCAAGATCCCGAGTGGGCCTCGGCAGGAGGCCAAATGTTCTTACCCCTATCATACACTGTCCCAGTCTTCGGATGAGGTGAGCAAGGTTGGCCCATGTGGCCTGCTGGAGCCCTGACCTCTCACTCTACCAGGTGTGCAGGTTACCGGCCAAGCCTCCCCCTGACATACTTTGGTCTCCACTCCAGTTCCTGGATGAACCCCTCCCCACTGTCCACCACTGGACCAGTCAGCAGGTGGGCCAGTGGCTGCACAGCCTCAATCTGGAGCAGTATGCTGCGGAGTTTGCCGCGCGGCAGGTGGATGGACCACAGCTGCTACAGCTGGATGGAAGCAAACTGAAGGTGGGTCAGAGTGGAAGGCCTGGGACCCCGCCGGAGCTTGAGGCAACCTCCGAGGATGGGAAGTCCCTCATCCTGATTTTGACCTTCAGCCCAGCCTACTGGGCTGACTTTCTCACTCCATCATGGCCACTGCCATGACCTCTGACCCCTAGGCAAGGCCCCTGGGCTAGTTTCTGTGGTGTGGTATGGGACCCCAGATTGACTTAAAACTTCAATACTTCGGTTTGACTTTCAAGCTCCAGTCCAAGCCTCCAGGCTGATGTTGCCCTCTAGGACTGTCATCTGACTCTTGACACTCATGAGTTTCCTACTATTATGGGAAGCCAGGAGTCCCCCTGGTCAACTCCTGATTCTGTCTCCGAGGCTGGTGGTCATGGGGGAGGGAGGAAGGGATGGCTGCTGATCTTGCCCAGGAGGTTCCTAGCTCATCTCTTCCTCTCTGCTGAGATGTTTGGGGAAAGAGTGGTGAGGCGAGTCCCCCAGGAAGTCTCTGGAAGTAGGGAGGGCCCTTGACCACTGACTATCTGTGTGACCTTGAGCAGGTCTGTCCCCATCTCTGGGTCTCAGGAGTTTGGACATGTCATGCCAAGGTAGGATCCAAGGCCTGGGGGAGGGGTCAAGGGCCTGGATGCCCTAGCTCTCCCCTCCTCGCACAATTCTGGCTAGTCAAGCTTGGGAGGCGGGGCCTCTCTTCAGGGAGGATTCACAGGGCTCCATACAGAGTACACTTGGGGCAGAAGACCAGGACTGGGCTGGGGACTCCTCCCTTACCCCTGGATTCCTCCCCAGAGCCTAGGGCTCAGCAACTCGCATGACCGGGCGCTAGTGAAGCGGAAGCTGAAGGAGCTGGCAGCAGCTGCCGAAAAGGAACGTAAGGCCCAGGAGAAGGCCGCGAGGCAGCGGGAGAAGCTCCGGCGCCGGGAGCAGGAGGCCCAGAAGAGCTAGGGGACAGAGGGCAAGGCAGGCGCTGGCACCCAGGCATGGGTAGCCATGGGCTCAGCGGGCACAGGGCCTCACTATGGGTGCCACACCTGGGCTGGTCTGGGCCCACACTCACGGGGGACATGACCTCTCTCACCCCATCACTCTGTTTGGATCCAGGGCCCCCAGAAAGAGAGATCCAGGAAAAGGCCCAGTAATAAATCCCATCTGAGGACTTGTTTAGCACAGAGTTCCTGGGGGAAGAGGTGGATGAAGGGAGAAGCCAGAGAGGCCAGGGCTGAGGCAAGTCTGGGAGCCCAGAGGACCCTGGGTCAGGCTAACCCTCTGCCTTCAGGCCAGGGTGGGGCTGGGGCAAGGGAAGTAAGCTAAGATGCCTGTCTGCCAGAGGCCCTGAGCCCAGGGCTCAGAGAAATGGGCCGAGCATCTCAGAAGCAGTAGATGGACAGAGCTGTCCCCCTCCAGCTCCCTGAGGTGGTTGTGTGGTGGGGAGCTCTACCCTGCTCCCGAGGGAGGCCAGTGAGCACTGCAGCAAGAAGCACTCAGGGTAGACACCCAGCTGAACTCCTCGATAGACCAGAAAAAGCATGGCCTTTGGATCAGGATAAACATCTTTGCAAGGACTTTAGGAGAAGGAAGGGATAATGACACCTCTCCTCTCTTTACCCTCCTCTGTCCTGTGGGTTCCAGTGCGCAAGATGACAGGTTAGCACCTTTTGGGGCCCAATTAAGTACTGGTCTTTGACCCATTCTGCAAGCCAGGATCCACTTCTCCTGCTGTTCCCTCTTTGGGGGCAGAGCGAACTTGGGATCTAGTGGGGAATGTGGACACCGCTCCACTAAGGCTCAGGGGTGCTGAATTAGTGATTCCTCACCCTAGCCAGGCAGAGAAGCAACATTCAGGGGTACCTGGCAGTTGATAGATCAGAAGGCTTCATCAGCCCTACCCTGGCTGCCCTGCTCCATAACTGGCAGATAAGCTGCAGGCTTCAGGTTCACTGGGAGGAAAGAAGGGCTGGGGCAGCTCCTAGGGGTGGGGTGGGGTGGAGTCTATCTGCAGTCTGGGGATGGCATCTATCCTTTTAAGGAAATGTCCAGGGAAAGATTTTCTGGGTGCATTGCTGGCCAGCAGCCAGCCCAGCTTCTGGAGCACTGGTCAGAATTACCAATGGGCCAGGGGCTTCTGATTGGAATCCCCCCTCCACCTCCTCACATCTGCCTACAGTGGTGGGCAGGACCCAGTGCATGCTGACTTCCCTCAGTCCTGCCCAGAGGCTGTGGCTTGAGGCCAGAGCACTGGCCCTGGGACTCAGCCCTTTCTTCCCCTCTGCCATCTTTGCTGGGAGAGGAGTTTCAGAGGGATAATGACATATGGGGACACTGGTACCATCTGGGTCTGGTGGAGGGGCCAGTGGGAGATTGGAGGCACCCATGTCCTTGAAGCTGTCAGGAGCTCAAGTGGGTGCCCACCTGCATGTGATGGGGGAGGCGGTTCTCAAGTTATTTCAATAAACACTATGATGTGCCAGTGACCTTTCTGTTTGCCCAGTTGGGGGATTGGGCTGGGCTATGGGGACAGTGCTATGCCCTGAGTGTGGTAGGATGACAAGTCTGTCCCTTGGTGTTTGGCTGTCAGGTGTTCTGAATGAGTGGCTTTGCCTGGCATTTACTCACAGTGCACACTGGGTCAGGCCCTGAGCTGGGCTGGATGTCCCGAGTGCGTCATGTGTTGGTCATAGGGTACCTCAGTCTCTGTGTTCTCCTTCCCCCAGAAACACAGCTCAGCCATAGACTCAATCTCCTCTTTACTGTGGATATCACTGTCACCATCATAGCCACTGGGAGGGGCACACAGTTTTAACCCCCTGTGTGCTAAGGGGAGGGTGGGGCATTCAGGGTTATAAAACTAGCTATGTACATAGAGTGTTCTAGGGAGAAAGCCACACTGAGTACCTGTGTCCAGGCACAGTGGGGGCTGGGGTCTGGAGCTCAGGCAGGATTGAGTGGGTGTGTCGGCACATGAGGACATGCTGGGGAGAGGCTCTGGCAGTGGCACAAACACAGCCAAGGCTGCCTGCAGGGCCTGGAGCAGCTTGGCTGGGCAGGTGACCTCTAGGTCTTCCCAGGTTCCTCCCACATTAGGAGTGGACCCCAGGTGGGAAGCCCCACCCCTCAACCTTGACCTTAAAGCCCAGAGTGGAGGGAGAGGTGGTAGGACCAGGTCTCTGACAGGTGCCCAAGGTACATCCCCTTTCCCCTCTCACTCCTAGAACTAAGGGCACCGGCCAGCCCCTTCTTAACACTGACTACGGACCAGGGCAGGGCACCCATAGGGGTTGGGGAAATAAGGCAAGCAGGGGCATCCACCTGGATGGCCAGGGCTGTGGAGGGTGGTGAGGGGGACCCAAGACCCTTGGCAGAGAAGTGACAACCCTGGTCTCGGAGAGGAGGACCACATGGAAAAATCCATCAGGGTAGAGATATCCCCAACCCTCAGGCATCACTCACAGACACTGACAGCAGGGAGACTGCCAAGGGGCCTCCACAGAGGCAGATTGGCACTTAGGGACCACCATGGGCCAGTTGCCATGGTGATTTCCATACAGACAACCTGGTCATCAGGGAGAACCCACCTCCAGGGGTGGGGAGGGTCACCGTGGTGGCCGGACCCAGAGACTGTCGGCCACCCTCTCAGGGGCAGATGCATGGTGGCCCTAGCTGACACGGTACGTGGATGTGTTCTTGGGCTCCGTGCTGGGCACGCACCAGTCGCCAGCCTCCTGGATGGTCTGGTAGTGGCGCCAAGCTGACTTGTTGTAGACGGGCAGGCGCTCCACTGAGTCCGTGGACAGGGCCTGAGAGATGGTAAGGTCAGCCTCTCCTCTCCCTGTACCCTGCCCACTCTTTAGCAGACAACTCTTTCCCTAGGTTGGGTTGTGCTGACTGCTGATACGCATGTCCCATCCCAAGTTAGAGTCAGCCCAGCCACCAGCCACTGGTCGAGACCACTGACCTGGGCCTGGATAGACCCATGGAGGGGTCTGTTCCTCTGTGTCTTGTTCAGGGTTCATTCAAGAAAGCTGCTCCCTCCAAGGGTCAGGGAGGGAGAAGGCTGGGCTGTGTGATCCTCAGCAAGGTGACCAACTCTGGGTCTCCATCTTCCCCTCTGAACTGAGTGACAAGACCTGTGCCCCCCTCCCCAAGTTCTGGGTCTGACAAGGGAAGGATGCCAAAATAGAGATTTTAATCAAGACTAGACTCCCTGACATTCCTTGCCAAGTTGTTATGCTTCTGAGGGTTGGGATTATTCAGGTTGAGGACCTGTAGCTTTGCTCTGATTCCCCCAGTCTGGAACCTGGAAAGAACTGGAGGGTGGGGTGGACAGGAAACCTAACACAGACCAATCCAGCCCAGGACCTGGCAGCAACACCCTCCTCTGGCCAGGCTCTCAGGGAGGCCCTCACCTTGAGATAGATGACAGCATCGGTTCCAAAGCCCTCCATGGAGAAGAGCTGCAGGTCTCCCTGGAAGTACTTGGCATAGAGGCGGGAAATGGGGAGCCCGTAACCAAAACCGGCCTGCAGGAGGCAGAAAGGTAGCATGATGCGGTGAGTGTTGAGGAGGGTGGGCCTGCTGCAGCCTCAGGGGTGAGGGAAGGGTACTGAGCTGGGGTGTGCAGGGGGGGAGAGTGCAGAAGAAATTTTGAGGGATGAACAGAAGGGGGTCACAGACACAAGGAGATGGGCAGGGCCAGGAGAGGAGGTCTGATCAGGTTGCCAGAAGGTCTGGGCAGGTCCCAGGGCTCCTTCTGAGTCTCAAATTCCTAAACAGAGAGGTGCTGATAAGCCAGGCACAGCCAAGGGAAAGTCAGAAACTGGGGATGGAGGGTGGACAGAGTGGAGAGGGAGGTAGCAGAGAGACACCTGACAGGTAGGCAGGTTGGGGAGACAGAGGAGGAACAAGGGGCCTAAACTCAGGGGAGGTGACCAACACCACATGGAGATGAGGAAGCAAGAGGTGAAAATTGAGACAAGCATCCTTCAGAGGTGGGTGGAGCACAGGAGCAAAGCCATCTCACCAGCGGGGTCCCTCCGGTGCCAGGCTGGGGAGTAGGTGCTGTGGAGTACATGTAGCTGAAAAGTCGCTCGATCTTCCTCAAGGGGACACCTCCACCTCGGTCACTCATCTAAGAGAGATGGGACATGTCAGGGACCCTCCAGAGCTCAGTTTCCCCCTCACACCCACCCCTGGCCTTCCCTACCCCAGGATCTGCTCATAATGTGGGAGAAAAGGAGTACCCTCCCCAGGCAGGAGGGAAGGTCCCACCCTCAATGCTCCCTGGTTTCTGAGGCCAATGGTCACATACTTTGATGGACAGATCTTCCTCACCCAAGGCCACCATGACCTTGATAGGTGGGAGAACAAGGCTGGACTCGTGGCTTTCCACAGTGGCCCGCATGGCATTCTGCAGAGGGGAAGAGATGAGAGATGCATGAGGACCATGTGGGGACAGGTGGCCCTGACTCTAAACCTAAGAGGACCAGCCCCCAGCTTACTCACCTTGAAGAGCTCAAAAAGCATGTGGTAGAGGTGGGAGGGGACATAGACCATGTGAATCGGCTGTTTGGAGTTGGCTGCTGTAGAGAGGGTCAAGACCAAAGGTTAGGGAATTGTCAAGAGGTCACCACTCAACTACCTTACTCTTGCAGCCATTCTTCCTTCCTTCTTTAACTAAAAGACACCCCTTCCCCAAGGTTTTTTTTTTTTTTTTTTAGAATTTCATTTTGTTGCTCTCAGTAGAGTGCTATGGCATCATAGCTCACAATAACCTCAAACTCTTGGGCTCAAGCGATCCTCTTCACTCAGCCTCCCAAGTACCTGGGATTATAGGCACCCACCACATCACCTGGCTATTTTTAGAGACAGGGTCTCCCCCTTGCTCAGGCTTAGGATGGTCTTGAACTCCTGAGCTCAAGCAATCCACCTGCCTCGGTCTCCCAGAGTGCCACCATGCCTGGCCTGCCCCCAAAGTTTTAACGGGACATTTGCCACCCTGCTAAAGACTAAATCCTCCCCTGAGCTGCTGTAACCAGGTGACTCATGGAAGGGAGGGGATTGATTCCTGGGCCCTGCTCTCTACACCCTCCTTCCCTTCCTCCAGGGTGGAGCTGAGACCTGGGGTGGACAGACAGCTATGATCACCCCCCCCGGGGGGTG